ATCTATCTATCTATATATATATATATATATATATATATATATATATATATATATATATATATATATATATATATATATATATATATATATATATATATATATATATATATATATATATATATATATATCCTTCTTTATCTATCTTACATCTTTATATATCCTACGTTATCTATATATATCCTATGCTACCATATAACATCTAGATCCAATGTTATCTATCTAACATCAAGATATATCCTATGTTATCTATATAACATCTATTTTAATCCTATGTTATATATGTAACATCTTTATATATCCTTTGTTAATGCATAACACCTTAATATATCCTATGTTATAATTTATTTAGAAAGTTTGTTATGAAATTTGTGAATGACATTGTGAATCAATGTCAAAAGAAATTAGGAACTGATCGCCTGAAAAAATTTAGATATACACTAGACAAAATTGCTAACGCACCACTTATTATTCTTATTTGTGAATTGATCATTTTTCTGATTGGTACTAGTATATAAAATATGCCTTCTTTTCCAAAACAGTTGGATTGACAAATGTCTTGGTGTCATGTCAAGACCCTTAAAGGACCTTCTTGTCCGAAAACCAATTTCCCGACGTGCACTGCGCACCGTTTTTGCCAAGATATGAAGTTGGTGATTACCGATGGTGGTCTGTGACGTTGCGACGGGAGCAGTCTCCCACTTATCTGAAAACAATGCATGGAGGAAAATTGCTTTTCAAAAATCACAGATATATATATTTTGCATGGGGCTATATACCTGGAGTAATCTCTCTCTCTCTCTCTCTCTCTCTCTCTCTCTCTCTCTCTCTCTCTCTCTCTCTCTCTCTCTTACATCTACTTGAGTCAAAATTAAAGTGGAATTATAAGACAATTTTTTTTAATTGATGACGTTTTAGGATTTTACACTAATTCATACTGCAGCAAGAATGTTATCCCTCTCAGAAAAAAAAGTTTACTCACTATCTTGTCTTTGATCTATATCTATAATTACAAAAGGACACAGCCAGAAGTCTTTTAACATGGTTTGTTACAAATTTCACTTGGAACTCCTATTAATTTGCTCAAGATCAGTATTTTCAGTTGGCAGAAATGAACTTGGTCATGACAATTACACTAGACAGAATTGCTAACGCACCACCTAAATAAATTAACATTTTTCTTTTCAAAATTTGTTTATGATGTTTTTGATATATAATTATGTTACTTTAGTAAAAAAAAATGAGACATTTAAATCCTTTAACTGATAAATAACAACAATGTTTACTGAAGCGTAACCACTTCATAGAAAAAATTAAAATTACATTCATACTTTTTTGGTGGAATTAATTTCTGATTTTTTTCTTTGTGGTTGTGTTCTTTATGTTTGTACTAATTAAAAACTCAGAAAAAAAGTTACACCGTATGCGGCGTTTGACTATAGAAGAGCGTGCTAAGGCAGCCAGTATGGTGTCTGCAGGGGGTTCCTTTGAAGAAATTTGTAAAAAATTAAAAGAATTAAATGATTATGAATTTCTCTGGTGAAAAATTGTTGAAAATGAATGAACGATCATAAAAATGTTTACAAAAGATATCGGCGGCTTTAAGTGAGCACGAAACAATAATATCAAGATTGTTCCACAAAATTGGGGCAACCGGAAGTTGGGTGGATTTGGTAGGGACACCAAGGCACTGGATGACTGCTAGGCGATATGGTAGTCAATCAGGGTATATCATTTGATTTTTACGTGGGAGACTGCTCCCGTCGCAACGTCACAGACCACCATCGGTAATCACCAACTTCATATCTTGGCAAAAACGGTGCGCAGTGCACGTCGAGAAATTGGTTTTCGGACAAGAAGGTCCTTTAAGGGTCTTAACATGACACCAAGACATTTGTCAATTCAACTGTTTTGGAAAAGAAGGCATATTTTATATACTAGTACCTACCGTTCACGGTAGCTCAATCGATAGAGCGCTCGCTTCGTGATCGCGCAGCTAGGTCGGAGTTTACGGAGACGGCCGCCATTTTGACCCCGCTTCAAATTTTAAAATACAAATATCTAGAGTTTGAATTTATCAATTTTAAAACAAAATATATATTAAGTATTTTTAGAAGTGTTTCTATCAACCATAATTATATCAAAGAAAAATAATGAAAAACAAAAAAGTTGAAAAAATCCAGTTTTGAAATTCGCTCCCGGTGGTGACCGGAAGCATCGACGACACACAAAAAAATTGGTCAGAACATCTACAAGTCATGCTCTATCATCTTTGACATGTCTCCAGTTCATATCTTTAGCCGTTCCAGAGGAGATAGGAAGACAAAAATCCAATTAAAAATCAGAAAATTGGCCATTATATGGAACCGAAAGAGATTTTTTGAATTTTCTCCTCAAATGCACAAAGTTCATAATAATGTCTATTATCTCTGAAAAAACCACTGAAAACCACTGAATAGTTTTTGAGAAAACGCGTGCACAAAATATGGGAGGAAAAATAAGAATAACAATAATAACTAGATGAGATCTCGTTGCGAGCAGCAAGTAGGTCTTCCGTCCGATTTTTCGATAAGATGAGATATGATTTTGACCATGATCTTGTTAAAAGATAATAATATATAGACTTCCCTAATTAGATTTCAATCTTTTGATTTATATACATTATCAAAGAGCTATAGATGACAGGCTTTTGGCCCCTCTGAGCCCCTAGATTGAGGGGTCAGCCCCTTTTTCTTGATATAAATTGAAAGGTCTTCTGATTCTGAAAACGTTTTGTTCAAGAAATATTCAGAGATTTCCCTTCGTTGTGGAAATATGCTGAATGGAAATATATAGGGGCCACCCATCCACGTCCTTAATGGGGCCGTTTGACAAAAACTGAAAGGGTGCATATTGTTTAGAACATTATTCTGACCATCTTTTGTTCAGTATTGCTTATCAAAATATTTCCCACTTTCGAGATATAAAGCGTCAAAGATTTATCATTCTGGCCCCTTGTGACCCTTATTACGTAACATATGATCAGAATCTTAACATATATTGTTGTAAATTGTTAAGATAAACATTTTTGCTTCACTAATGTATAACAAAATATTGATCGTTAAAGAGTTATAGATGAAAGACTTTTGGCCCCTCTGAGCCCCTAACTTGAGGGGTCACCCATTTTTTTTATATCAAATGAAAGCACTTATCATTCTGCACAACTTTTGTTATATATGTTTTAGCAAAATATTTACAGGTATAAAGATATGATAGAAAACTTGTCAAATTTTGCGGAATGCTTGTGAGCCTATTTTTCAAGCCCAGGCGAGCTTTGGCGCCTTTTTCAATCAAAAAGATGAAAATATACATAAAACTCCTAGTACACTCTCTATTAACCCTGTAAATCCCAGAGAAAAATATTGAAAAACAAAAAGTTGCAAATTTAACATTTTTGAAATCACTTCCGTTTGCGACCGGAAAAATAATGGTCGATCACCATATCTACATTTGATGCTCTATTACCTCAGAAAGTTTCATATTCATATCTTTAGCCATTCTCTGATGATACTGTTTACTTTCTTTTATTCTTTATGTATTCAACTTTTTATTTCATGTAATTTCCATATACAGGCATGTCCATGTAATCTTTTTCTGCACTTCTATATACTTCTGCATCAGACCATTTGTCTACTACGAAAGGTTGGACACGATACATTATTTCGCGCGAAACGTCACGGGTAAATATTCGCGCATTTCCTTTGGAATGTATTTTCTATTGAATGGTGATAGCTTCAATGAAATTTCAAAATGTATGTTCTTATAACCTGAATATTGAGCTTGAGAAAGTATATTTATCATATTGTACTTATTATATATCGTATGGATAAGTAACACTAAAGCAGTGATTTAGGTAAGATTTTCTACAAGTTTTATTTTCCTGATTACCCCCAAAGTGGACTATCCCGATTAGTTACACATTCATGAAAAGACTGGAATGTTTCGCCCAAAAAACATGTCTCGTCCTGCGACGGTCAAGGAATCTGATACCATTTATGTTCAATAACAACATCTTTTAGAATAAAAATATTTATTTCAACTTCATTAAACAATCTTTAAAAAAAATGGTTTTCTTATTTTTGTCTTTTCTGTTTATTTAATATGACACAAGCCTGCATGGGGAAAAACAATTGCCACGTAATAATTACTATATATTGATTGCTTTAGTCAGGCAAGTTTCTTGAAAAGCTATTACTTATAACCATGGTTTAGGATCAGTTTTTCCGTGGTGTAAAACAAAAGGTTGTAGTTATCGTATTTCCACTTGTAGTCATGTCGTATTTCTACTTTGAGATACAGACAAGAACAATTATAGTAGACGTTTGAGGAAACCCCGGATTAAAACTTTAGTTCGAAACAGAATTGTAACGTAATTGTGATGTGACAATCCAACAATTCCTTCACATTTCTTTGATCCTTATGGTACTTCCATTCAAACAAACGCTCGGCTGACTCCGTAAATTCTGACCTACTTATCGGAGTTTACGGAGACAGCCGCCATTTTGGACCCGCTTCAAATTTAGAAATGCAAATATTTAGAGTTTGGATTGATCAATTCTAAAATAAATTATATATTAAGCATTTTCAGAAGAGCCTCTATTAACCTTATTAAAATAAAAGAAAAATATAGAAAAACAAAAAAGTTAAAAAATTCGACGTTAAATGGAAATCGCTTCATTTACATTGTCCCACTAACCAACGGTAGAGCACTTCCCCGAACTAGCTACTGCGCAGGCCTAAAATGCAGAATTCACCACTTTGGTCAATTTTCACCAAAACAAGAAATAAAATGCCGCAAATGCTGGCAAACTGGCCATTATACAAGGAACTGTCAAAATGAAATCTGTTGTAAAGTCTGACAAAAACCGGGACATGAACCTGGGGAAACTCAGTGCAAATTTTATCAAGAGCAAGAAAATGTGGTCGCTTTTCAGGGCTTCAAAAACATCCTATCAAATTTCCATATGAGTGAATTCAAAGTTTTCGGAGAAAATCACAGGTCAGCAGAACACGCTTTTCAAATTACCAAAGCGATTCGTAATGGCGATCTTGTGGCTGCCGAAAAAATTCGCTCAGCGACGACTGCATTAGACGCAAAGCGCATCGGAGACTGCATCTCTAAAAACGAATCATGGGAAAAAGAGAAAACCGAGGTCATGTCTACCATTATAGATGCTAAAGCTTCTCAGATCAAACCCTTTCAGGAAGCTCTACAAAAATGTGGTCCAAAATCTATCATAGCGGAAGCCACGTACGACGATTTCTGGGGGACTGGTATCAACATATCAGCTACTCTAAAAACAAATCCTGAAGCTTGGCCCGGTAAAAACATGCTTGGCACTATAATCAAAGATATAGCAAAAAACTACCGTCGCAAACCAAGAAGCTGGTCTCTCCCAAGGCAACCGACTCGCAAAGCTGCTCGGGCGTCACAGAAGGAAATCACTGATTTCGTTAGCCAGCTTAAGGAAGGACCATCAAAGAGATCCCGAGAGAATATCAACGATACAAGTGGTCATGACACGGACACTAGCGAGCAAGGTTAATATCCTTTACCGTTTGATTTTCTATTATGAACTTTTTTCTCCCACTGACGCAATTTTTGGTATGAACAAATCTTACAATTATGCTTAACCCTTTATTAAGTGTTTTCTCCTTAAATGCAAGGGGATTAAATACATACGAAAAAAGAATAGTTTTATACGATTGGCTTCAAGATTTAGATATAGATATTGTCTTATTACAAGAAACTCATTATATAGAATCAAGAGAGTATCAATATAATGCCAGATGGCTGGGCTCAAGTTTTCACTGCTTTTCGAGCTCAGCTTTCAGTAGGGGTGTTTCTATTTTGATTAGAAAAAAATTTTCTTATGAATTGATAAATTATCACAGATCTTCTGATGGAAGAAAAATTTTGATAAATCTTAAAATTAATGATATTACGTTTTCAATAGCAAATCTTTATGCACCAAATAATATATCTGATAGGAAGGCTTTTTACACCACAACAAAGTTTTGGCTAAGAAAAAATGCTAAAAGTATAGAAAACCTGATTGTATGTGGAGATCTAAATTGCAATATAGACAACTATAATCAGACTACTGATACAAGCAAAACACAATTAAACTCTTTAATCAAACAGTTAAAATTAATAGATGGTTGGAAAAAAATTCATGAAAATAAACCTGGTCTTACTTGGTGCAATGCAAACAATACTCCAAGTAGCAGAATAGACTACATTTTATTTGCAGAAAGGTTTTCATTATCTGTAGATTCTTTTTCTTTAAGAAAATGTCCCAGAGTAAATAACAATAGGATGAGTGATCATCTAGGGCTAAAAATAGATTATATTCTCCAGAAAAACAAAAGAGGTTGTGGATATTGGAAAATGAATACTTCATATCTAATAAATGAGGACTTCTGTAAACAACTAAAAGACATTTTAAAAAATAAAGAACTAGAGCTTAGAGATGTAAAATGTCCACAAGAAAGATGGGAAATGGTTAAACTTATTGTTAAAGAATACTCTATAACCTACTCTAAAACAAAAAGTAAGAGTACTAAACAAAGAGTAAAAGAAATTGAAAAAAGAATTACAAATATTGAAAATAGACCTTTTAATGAAATTATTAATCAAGAAAAATATAAGTTAGAAAAAGAATTACAACAGATATATGATAAAAAATTAGAAGGAGCATACATTAGATCTAGAGCAAATTGGGTTAAGTGTGGAGAGAAATGCTCCTCTTACTTCTTAAAACTAGAAAATAAACATCAACAAAGTAATGTTATTGAAAAAATTAATCAAGATAACCAAACCTTTTTCAGTAGTAATGATATCTTGGGACAATTATGTAATTTCTATGAAAAATTGTATACATCACAAAACCCCAAAACTGAAGACATAAGTAATTATCTAAAAAGAACTGAATTAAAAACAAAACTTAACACAGAACAACAAAAAATATGTGAGGCATTACCTACCCTCAGAGAGTGTGAAGAGGCAATTAAAAGCATGGATAACAATAAATCACCAGGTCTAGATGGCATACCTATTGAATTCTACAAATTATTTTGGAATGATATAAAAAATTATTTTTATGATTCACTGTTAAAATCTTTTGAATATGGTGTACTACCATCATCTCAAAAATTAGCTGTTATAAGTCTGATACACAAAAAAGGTGATAAAAGTAATTTAAAAAATTACAGACCCATAAGCCTAACAAACTGTGATTATAAAATACTTGCATTTGTTTTGGCTAGAAGATTACAAAGTGTTATTTCAAAATTGATAAATAAAGACCAGTCAGCATATATTAAAGGCCGATATATAGGGAATAATGCTCGTCTAATTCAAGATATATTTGACTATTGTGAAAATCAAAATGAGAATGGATTACTATTATTTTTAGATTTTGAAAAAGCTTTTGATACTGTTGAATGGGAATTTATGATACAAACATTAGAAGAATTCAATTTTGGTCCAAATTTTATTAAATGGATTTCAATTCTATACAATAATCCTACTTTTAGAGTAAAGAATAATGGTTTTATTTCAAAAACTTGTAGAATGACAAGAGGCATTAGACAAGGATGTCCCATCTCTGCATTGTTATTTATAATAGTTACTGAAATCTTATTAATCAGAATAAATAAATCAGAACAGGTAAAAGGGTTTCAAGTCAATAATCAATGTGAAATTAAGATGTTACAACATGCTGATGATTCAACGAACCCTCTAAAAGACTTGGTGTCTGTAAAACATGTGATAGATATTATTCATAGTTTCTCTATCTTTGCCGGTCCTAAACTTAACTTACATAAATCTGAATGTATACTCCTAGGACCTTTAAAGGACTCATGTAAAAATGTATATGGAATAAGAGCAACAAATGACCCAGTTAAAACACTTGGAATCTATATAGGACACAACAAATGCCTTTGTGAAGAAAAAAATTGGAATGAAAAAATAAATAAAATTGTTGATACCTTTAAAGCATGGGAAAAAAGAAAGTTGACTATCTTTGGTAAGAAAGAAATTGTAAATAATCTTATCATATCAAAATTTCAGTATATAGCTAGTATTCTTCCTAACCCTCCCGAGGAATATTTCAAACAAATCAATAGAACAATTTATAATTTTATTTGGAATGCTAAAGATAGGATAAAAGGGAATACCCTTATAGGAAAAGAGGAGGAGGGTGGTATTAATATCTTTGATGTTGAAACAAAGTTCCTCTCTGCAAAAGCCTCTTGGATTCCAAGAATTCTTAAATCTAACAATAGTTTAGTGTCTTTTATACAAAACATTCTTAGTAAAGAAAAATTTACTCTTGACTACTTACTCAAAACAAATTTGCAAGATATTAAAGATTATCAAGAATTAAATTTCCTTCCTTGTTTCTACAAAGAAGCACTGTGTGCATTCAATAAATGCAAAAAACAAAAAGATATGAAAAAAATATCCACAGATGAATTCCTGTCATTACCTATTTGGAAGAACACATTATTCATGTATAAAAACAAGCCAATATTTCTATCAAACTGGATAAAATCAGGTGTGTTATACACAAGAGATCTTTTTGATAAAAATGGGAGATTACAAGATATTTCATACTTTTTAGAAAAAATCTTAGATAAAAGAAATATATTCTGTGAATATTTCATAATGAAATCAGTGTTTAATAAATACTCTAAGATTTTTGAATGTAGAAAAGCTCAGCATGTCAACATTAAAAACTATCATTTTGCTTTATTTTATGGAGATATTTATTGTAATTTTGAGAGTCAGAAATCCTCCTTTTTCTACAACATATTGAGAGCAAAGAAATTTCACCAACCTGTAACAGTAAAATACTGGACTGATCTATTTGATATTCCTAGATCAATATGGCCAAAAATTTTTCATATGAAAATTACCAAAATGTTTGATAGACAAATTGCTGATTTTAATTATAAACTGTTACATAAACTGTTGAATAATAATCTGAAAGTTAGTAAATGGAATACTGATGTGCATAGATTCTGTCACAAGTGTGGTGAAATAGAAAATATAGAACATCTTTTATATAAGTGTAATGATTCCTTGAATATATGGAAAAAAGTAAGTCAATCATTGAAGTTCAATATTGGCTGGAAAAATATAGTAATTGGTTTTTTTTGAAGAAACTCAGCTATCTGAAATGTTGAACATACTCATTTCTTATATAGCTCTAAAAATATTTAAATATAAAATGAAATGTCGTGTAAATTGTGAACCATGTATTACTGAAAATTTGATAAAATTTGTGAAGAGCAATTTATTGATGTACTATAATATTATAAAAATGTCATATAAAAATTTCAAACTAGCTGAAATGTGTATAAATGTTGAAAGACATATATAATTCATAGCATTTTTCCTTCATGTTATTATTACCTAACAACTTATGAAATCCAATGCTTCTTGGGTAGCCTGACCAAAGAAGCATGTTAACAAGTGGGGGTCAATATGGACTTTGGAAGGTGAAATGGGACCTCTGTGATAACACGGATTTCATAAGTAGTAAATTTGTATACACATAACCTGTAGATTTTAATTTTACCTCGAGTCTTTTTGCATTATTTGACTGTTTAAAAAAAAAAAAAAAAAGTCGAGGATAACTCAATGTTTATATTCAAAGTTACAACCGGATATCATTTGTACTGTATAAATTTTGACATTATAAAACGGAAGAAAAAAATACGGAATACTTTAATATTATTTTTGTTTAGAAATTTATCCTTTTTTTTTTTCATTGTCATTATACTATTATTATTAATAATATCAATGTATATATAGATCTATGCTATCCAATCCAGAAAGCTGTTGGCACATATGGTGCGGATTATAAGGGGGTCTCTGAGGAGACTTTACCCCAAAATGTCTTTGTAAAATCTGAATAAAAGAAGAAAAAAAAAATTCGACGTTTTTAAATTCGCATCCGGTAACGACCGGAAGTACAGACGACGCACAAAAAGGTGATTCCCCTCATTTAGAAGACATAACCTATCATCTCTAACAAGTCTCCAGTTCATATCTTAAGCCATTTTTGAAAAAAAGGGGGGACAAAATTTCATTTTAAAATCAGAAAACTGTCAATAACTTGGCACCGGAAGCGAGTTTTCCAAATTTTCCTTCTGATGAACAAAGTCCATTTGACGACGCATAATTCCTAAAAGTTTCATCCAAAACCACTGAATAGTTTTCGAGAAATCGCCTGCACAAAATTTTGGGGAAAAAAATAAGAATAATAATAATAATAATAAGAAACAGTAGAATCACTATAAGGACTTCCGTGAAGACGGAAGACCTTAACTAGATGCGATCTCGTTGCGAGCAACGAGTGGGCCTTCCGTCCGATTTTCGATAAGATGAGATCAGAATTTGACTGAGATTTTTGTTCAAATATAATGATAAAAATAAATTAAGACGAAAATTTTGCTTCAGTAGTGTGTATTAAAATATTGATCATTAAAAAGTTATAGATTAAAGACTTTCGGCCCGTCCTGGCCCCTATTT